AAACTACTGTCCTTCATTTTCATAGTCACCTGAATCTTCTGTTCTCAAGGTGTAAGCCATCTGCATTTCAGATCTAGGCTTGTTAAATATCTGATGCAGAAAGCCAGGGGCTGCCACCAAGAGCTGCAATACAAGCAGTGAGCATGCAACAGAACAATTAGTCACTAAGTATTTCTGCCTGGTTTTTAAATATCGATGTTTCCAGTAAAAGGAAAACAGGAAGAAATGTGGAGGTCTGCTACACGGCTACTCATCCCTGCTGGATAATTTTGCTAAGGCTGCTGGGCAGGAAGCTGTGGTCGGCAGCTCAGGCAGTGTGTGGCTCATGCTCTCAGAGAGGCTGTGAGAGATGAAGAGAGATGGGCTCTCCTGTGGGAACGATCACACACTGAGCACCCTGGCAGGGTTAGACAATAGTCCCTCCACACAGGAGTCAGCCACTTGACTGTCCCTTTTCTAAGGGACTGAATGTAGTATTACAGGTCTTGGCCCTATCACAGATGCCATTTTTCACCACCTAGCAAGCTCTGCTGCCACTTGGGATGCCTTGCCTTCCTGGAGTCAGTCCTCATCCACCTCCTAAACCTCATGGACTGTTAGTAGCTCCCTGGGACAGGCTCCAGTTTGTTACATCCTGTGTGGCAGTGTCTGTGCACATGTGTCTTCTTTAAACAAGGTACTGATTCCAATTTAAAAATTCATCATCTGCCTACTGGAAAGAACAAGACCTGAAACAATCTACAGTAACTTTGAGTTTGTTACCATCTGCCACAACCATATATTATTTAAGCACAGGATATTGCCTCTAATGACTGTTCTCCTCATTACGAGGTGCACATTGAGGGGCAAAAGAAACCTGACTCAAAGCCGAACAAGTGCTAATACAGACGTGAAAGAGGCACAAAGCAATGTGGGGCAGACACAGGGCTGGTGTGCACAAGCCTGACGTGCCTGTCTCCAGCAGCTCGGAGCTGGTCTCTGGGTGTGGTTTCCCACCCCCCCTGTTCTGCCCAGGGATGGTGGATGGTCACAGCAGCCACTGGAGTACTGGGCACAGTCAGGACTGGTCCCAGATACTGTCATGGGAATCACTGTAGTGAGATCTAATTCCTCAGTAACAGGCAGGATTGGGTACTAAACTATCAATTCCCAGTTTTCATTAGGTTTATTCATCCTCAGGCCAATTTATATGCTGGTATAACACCCTGGGAATTGTGCCAGCAAAGACTTTGCTCTAATAATATCAGGTTGATTTCTGTAGCATCATCTGTGTGTGGCTTTGGGAAGACTATATGTATATCCCACTACAGACTTTGCAGAAGCAAATACCAACTCTGAAGGAAGATTTTTGACTATGCAACCACTTTTTCAAGATAAAAAAAAGAGAAGCCTAGACCATGGGCAAAAAATTCAGATTGTTTAACAAATATAGGAAGTTAATGCTTTCCTGTATATTACTTTGAGAGTTACTAGCACCTAAATATTCTACGTGGTTGAAAGTGTATTAATGAGATGGAAGACAAAGCGATTTAATCAGAAGAGATCAGCAGTAATTTATCCTGCAGAAGATTTACATACAGCAGCCATGTGTGTTTGTTTATGATCTCTACGTCTGGTAATGAGTTTTTGACATGATGGGAAGCTGCGGTAGAATAATGCACTCTATTCCTCACACTGACTAATTAATGCTCTGCTTAATCTGGAAAAAGGCACTTTAAAAATAAACACTAATTTTCAGCAGACCATAAAGAATAGGTAACAACTGAATCACAGCATAGGCCTAAAAACTGGTGTAGCAACCTCATAAGCATGAAAAAAAGGTGATTTTTAACTCTTGAGAGTACCACGTGAAAAGCGTGTGCACACATATACCTCTCTACACTGCAAACAGTACATTAACTTCTTAGCTTTTTCTGAAAGAGAAGAGCAAATATACACTCTCTTCTCTCACCAGTTTTCCTTTTGCACTGCTTCAAAAGTGACAGACCTGACACCTGCAGAGATGATCAAAGTCTGACTTACGACCTGTAGGAATCACTAAAACCAGTAAGAGGTGGCAGAGCTAAAATATTCCCCATTATTCACACACTGGGTACTAAAGTATGGTTTGTGTTCACAAGTTACCTACAGTAACACTGTAGCCATCACCCTCCACCTTCTTCTGACAATTGATAAAATCAGCAGTAAATCCCAGTTTCCACAAGTGACATTGACAGGAAAAGCAGCCAGTGCAAAGACGGTCAGACACTGGGGAGATGGTGTTGAGCAGGGCTGGCTGTTTGTGGGGGGAGTGCAGGGGGAACTCGGTGTCCTCAGCTTCCACTGAAGTCATTCCATTGCTTTTAGTCACTGCACCAAGACCTTGTCTCCACAGGATGTTATGCTGGAACAGCTACTGCATTTACATTCACACCCTATCTCATTCCAGGATAACTTCCTCACATTGACGTGCCCTTAGAAGTACAAGAAAGAGCATTCATCTGTGGCTGCATTTAGCCCTAGGCTGAAGTCTCACCAGGTAACAGAGAATACAGATTTGGCTTTATCTTATAAACTTTGCTAATATATATCACCACCCTTTGGACTGAAACCAACTTCTTCTCTCTAATCTCCCAATCATTTCCCATAGAAAGCGTGTATGCTACAGCCCATGAAAGAAGGCAAGGACGTTAGGAAAACCAGAGGGATTGCAAGGCATTGAAAGCCTGTGTAAGCTGCATCCAAGAACAAATTTCCCAGCTTAAGACACCTGAACTATGAAATGAGCCCTTTCAGTGACTGAGAAATTACCATAGTGGCTAGGAGCAAAACTGCATAGGCTACAAGTACTGAGGAACATCGCTGCAGAACCTTGGGACTGATTCCCCAGTTGGAGTTAAAGGTAAATTAGGTAAGAGATAAACATGGAGCAAACGAGTAAAGACCTAAGCTTTTCATGCATGTTGAAGTGACAATATCAAAATACAGTTCCTCCTGCCAAGTGCAACTCCTTACCCTCCCACTCATACAGCCAGTGTACAAAATCTGTAACTCAGGAGTTCTTGCCTGCACTTCAGCTGCAATAGAAGATGCATTTGTGTGGTCCTCACAGTTCAGACCCTTAACCATACCCCACAGAGAGCACCTGCATTGTCCCTGTCTCCCCAGTTCAGATTTCCCAACACGAGCAGTGAGGACCAAGTGGACGACACCACGTCTGACAGGGATATCCTGGCAGATATGCCCTGTGAGGTACAGCCAGGTAAGGTCAATAATGACAGGAACAGCAAACTGTTGAAGTGGAACCAGCAATTCCCTAAAACCACTTTGTTTTCAGGAAAAGAGTGTGCAGGCTAAAGTCTGCAGAGAAGCGCCAGCCCCTGCTGCAGCACTGAGCATGAGTGAGTAAATGGCACATCATTTCTGGAGATGACCCACTTTCTCTGCATCTCCACCACTGCTTTTCTGGCAAAGGGTTTAATTCTGGGTTTTTGTCAGTGCCTGTACCTCAGTGGGTTCCTAGGTCTGCAGAACATCTTCATTCCACTTAGACTAATTCTTTCTTTTCTTTGCTTCTGAGAGAAAACAAGTTACAGCTTCAAACCACATAAGGCTGCACGTTTAGTGCTGCAGAATCCCCACTTTCTGCTGCTTCCCTTTCCTCAATTCTTCTCTATCTGACTTAGTGTTTACTTACAGACCATATGGGAAACATGTCAGGAAAGCATGCATCCGGGTTCATGTTCAGAATAAATACTTTTTATGACTATTCCCATGACCTGCAGCGATAGACTAGATTAGTCACCCACAACTATGTATAATCATACCATCATTTAAATACATTTTCAAAACAGAATACATTTTAAGATACAGATCAACTAAATATTCTTCTATAGGCTTTCTATTTCCTACAACTTTATCATTTCCACCTGAGATAGAAAGTGTTATCTTTCAAGTGTGGCATCAATACAAATAGAACAAAAACTGACGAGGCCGTGCGAAAGTGCAGCCTGCAGACTACTATGTGGTCTGCTTGGTTTTCTTAGCGAGAGAATGATGTAGTGCCACAGGAAAAGAGCTGAAAATGGATGTTGATTCTGAAGTAAACGTGCCATCTATCAACATGTGCAAAAAAAAAAAAAACCAACAAAAAAAAATCCCCCCAAAAAAGAAAACCCACCAAAACCAAAAGGAAATTACTTTTTATTCTCTGCCTATTTCAGAAAACCAAACTCCCTACAATTTTAGGTTCATCCAGAAGAGGAATTGTGAAAGTTTTCTGCTGGAGAACAAAATATTTCCCAAGTGGAATATATCATTTACTGCAAAGCCAGATAAACAAAGGGTCAAATTCAACTTCAGCCATTAGACTTAGTAACAAAATTGGTAAAACAATTTTAAATTGAAATATTTAAAATCTTTTCAAGCTGAAACATTCTGACTTCTACCATAAAAAACTCAGGTCAATGACACAAAACTAAATAAATTATTCAACTTAGTGTTTCTAATTTATTTTTTTTATAGCAGAAGACTAAAGTAAAATTTATAAAAATAAAATTAATAGCTGCATTTTTTTTCTTGTGTAAGTAATGAAACAGCTATATCCTGTACTACTACTCCTTATTTAGGATTATCCTTTTTTTCCAAATTTGTCATCAACCTCTGGGTTGAATAAAAATCTGATGTGTCCCTTTTTGCTTTGGGAAATCGTTCCGACAGTCTTTTATGCGTTGCTGCACATGCAACTGTCCAAAGTGAAGAGTGTTTGTAGCTCTCCTCTGCCTCTGTCCACCCCACAGAAGCAAAACTCATCTGCTGCTGGATAGTTGCAAAACATCTCATCAGCCAAATTGAATGATTGCATCGTGTTACAAGACTTAACCAGAACACATGGGACTCTTCCTTTGGCTAAAATCATGCACAAAAGATGAAAAAATGCAGAGATTTCCCAAGGTAACTTGTGTGCTTGCTGTCAGGCACACACAAGCCCGTGGTATCGACCACGCTGGAACAGTCGGTGGTCAATCTGCCGGCCACCTGCCTCCTCTGCCAGCTCCACTTGAACTTGGAAAACACGGTATCTGGAAGATTATTTAAAATGGCAAATTTTCTTTTGATGGGTTTTCTTGTTGTTCTGCTTGTTTTGGGGGCAGGAGGCTGAGCAGGAAGAGTCATTACATGGTGAAAAGCAAAACTCTCACATTTTCATGTGTGCTTACTTACATTAATATCTATCATTTTACATACATAATACATCTACATATGGAACCCATTATTATTGAGGAAATGTTTTTTTAATGAGGAAGACTGAACAATACTTAAAAGAAAGAAAATGTTCAAATCAATGTTAATTTGCAGCAGGAGGAATACAGTATTTTAATAAAAAACTGTAACAAGACTGGCCTTTGTATCCAGGATCATCCTCGTCCTGTGTTCACACCTTGAGAATAGGATTTGACCTTCATGGCTTTTCTAAGCTTTGCAAACCTCCTAAACTGAAACGTAAACTCTGCCTCTGTCAAGGACTTCTAAAAGACCAGTGCTTCAGCTCTACAGAGACAGCTCATTGTATTTGTTTTCCAGATCCATGGAAGCATTTTTACTCCCTCCACTTCTTTCACAGAGCCTGTGCCTGCCCTCCCTTCCTACCCCCAAACTAATCCAAAAATAAGTTAAAAAAAAAAGGGTGTGGGGGGGAAGATTTAGGTAATACAATCACTTCTGTAGAAACGTAGCTAATTATAATCTCAACTGCTGAACACTGTTTCCTCTCTCTCCCTACATGCTGGGGCTAATTAAGCTTTCCTTAAATGTTGCATATGAATTAAGAAGAAACAAACAACAAAAACCCCTCACTATTTGAAAATGAAAAAAATCTGGTGCTAAAAAGTCCTGGCAGGCTAAACATTAGTACAATAAAATGGCTGGATTTTAAATGGTAAAAATAAAGTGACTAAAAACTCTCTGTTTGAAAAATGAGACACTTTCAAGAGAGACCATTCACTGTAGGAAAGAATCATCTCAAAACCGAGGATGAATTATTACTATCAAATATAAACCTCAAAATAGGCTCTGTTATCATAATGCAAATATTAATGCGTATTTGCTATTCCTGCCAAACATTATCAGTGTTGTTCCGACTCACAGGGAACAACCTGTTCTGTGTGGATCCTGACTGGGCTAGGATTTAACTAGGCTTGTCATTTTAACACCAGTAACATTGTTTTGTTCATCTTGAGAACAGGAGCAATGATTGCAAGAGGATACAGGTCTCTGCACTGGCTTGTTGTTAGGAAAAGCCTTAGTCACAGGACTGTGGGATCAGCAGAGCTGCCCCTGTGGTCCATGGAATTATTGCTGACCATGGCTCTCACCCCTTACCTTGACTTAGCTTCTTCATTTACTCTTGTCAAGCCAGCAGTTTTCTAAACACTTTTCTTTAATAGGTTGAACTACTTAGAAGCTTTCTAAGCTTCCTTGCTGTGTTTTTCAAGTCCCTCTTTCAATGGTACGGTACCAGAATGGCAATGAAACCAGCACCAGCCATTCAACAGTGGCTTGATGCAACCCTACTGGGAACATCCCACAGGAGCAAGGTACCAAAACAAATGGGTGGCCTGTGAAAGGCACATTTTGTAATAATGCCCCAGAATGTAGTCCCTGATTTGGAATCTGTGCACTACAAAAGAAGTCCCACTCAGTATGTTGCAAGAAATAAGACAAATTATAATTTGTTTTGTTACCTAGGTGTCACATAGATACTACCAAATGCAACACCGAATGCCTTCTGAGTCTTATGTAACATCAGATTTCAAATTATAAATGTCACAAAGGCATCATTCAGGCTTTGAAATATAGTTTGTTACCAAATATGATGCATGAAATGATTTATCAAATTCACAAGAAGGAAGAAACCAATGACACAATCCAACCTATTTCCCAGCAAGTCCAGGACTGTTTCCAATGACATGTAGACTGGCAGAAGAGAGATTTATTACCACGGTTTCTTAATGCTATGTTTTATCATTTAGCAAGCCTTCTTATCATGCTCCACATGGTGCTTGTACCAAGCACAATAGGGCACCTGGATTTCTACCACCTGTCCAACTTGGTGGGTCACTCATTGCCTTGCACACCGTTGATGCAGCATCTCTGTAGCCAATTTCTACAGACAGAGCTATTTTTGAAATAGCTTATTGGATGCCAGTAATCTCATGGGGGCAAGAAAAGGTTTGCTGCTTCAAAAAGATGTGCTTAGAATGGCAGAGTCATTTTTAAAGTCAGTCTGTTCTTAAACATGCCTACAGTAGCGTTGAGGCCACATGGAATTGTACTCAATTTCAAAACACCATTTAAAAGGAGAGGGATTCATCAGCTCCTACTCCTCACAAACACACAGACCCACGTCTCCTGTTAGAAACCTGTAAAAAACAATAGTGAAAAACCTGGAAATGTTTACAGTGGCTTAGTTTGGGACTAACTGAAACAGAGGACGTGCCTTCGCTTTGATCCCATTAAAATGTGAAGAGTTTTCTCGGTCATGGAAAAATCATTTTGCTGTATCAAAATCTAATTGCACAAAACAGCGTTGGCTAGTTTATGCATCAGTTGATTTGACAGAGATGAACTGTCAGGAAACTACAGGCCCAGAAGTGACAGCAATAGAATACAGCTGTAAAAATACATCACACTTTGAAAATTAAAAAATACAGAAAAACTTGATACATCTTTTGTTAATTCTGCTATCTAATTAATAATATATATTAAGCTAGAAGACATTTTAATCTTTAAGAATTAAAGAAATAATTCTTGGATTTAGCAAGCTCAAACATGTATTCGATTTAAGTGCATTAAATAACTCCATTTGTTACAGGAAATTTTTTATGCACATGAAAAGCTTTGAAATGCTGTAGGCTAACAATTTAAACTTCGACTGGGCTAGAAATGAGAAGGTATTCATAGTCTGGCTTTGGTTGAAGTGATAAACGTGATGAAATTCAGCTGAGGAGTTAAATTCAGATTTCAGACTTTGAAATTTGGTCACTTTCTAATTAGCTGTTAAGAAACAAGCATCTTCCTTGGTACAACACATACATGAAATGTATGTTCATGGAAGGGAACAGTTGTTTCAGATTTGTAAGCACACACTACAGACTACTTTTTAGTTCCTTGTAAAGGGCACATCGATTAGCACCGTGGTGTCTCTGCACTTTCATGACAAAGCATCAGCAGTAACACACTGTAATAAATTGAACACTAAGTCTTTAAAGAGCTAATGAGACATCTTTTTTTGTTCATGTTCATGATTAATTCCTACTCTTCTAGGTTTCATGTACAAATCAGACAGCTAAGAACAGAAACCTTACAAGTTATTTATGAAAACACAAGTTATTTATTCTGCACATGCAGAATTAAAGGAAATTGACTGCTGCAATACACATCTAGTCAGCTGGAACCGAGATAATGAAAACGATTCTGGTGTGAAATAGCTATAAAATGTAGTTCATCTCCAAGATTACCTGGTTTTAAAAGACCACACCCGGCTGGATGATTCGTTTGCCGCTTCTGGTGTTTCACCTTTGACAGCAAATTCATTGCATGAGCTAGGGGATGTTCACATACACACACTTGTAATGAAAAAGTGACACAAATAGGACACAAACACCAAATGAGCACCATGTTATTATATAAGCAGGTCAGATGAACACAGAGACAATACTACTTGATTGATAATATTACCAATTAATTGTTAAAAAGTCTCTAACTAAAGTTGAAATCTTTTTCCATCACTTTTGGGCTGTATTCGTACATCATCCTGAGTACACTGGCTGAACTGCAGACAGAAAACTATCCTAGAATAATGGAAGTACTTTTGCTCAGGACTGACATTTATCAGTATAAAATAGCCAATTTTGCCATTGTTTGAAGTAAGGGAAGTAATTAAAGCACACAAACCCGTTTTGCTACCACCACCCTATTTCCTGCACAAGTTAGCAACAAAATGCCTCTCTCCACCCCACCCCCATTACACACTGTTCATTAACTCTCCACAATAAACATAAATACTTCCATATCACACATTTGAGAGTGCTCCTAAACTGGGAAGTTGGGCAACAGCATTGCTCTGTGCAAAACCAGCCAAGTCCAGTCAGGAAACATATTAATTTGAAAGCCTTAATTAATGACTGAACATTTATACAGCCAAGATTTATGAGTTACAAGGAAGTAAGTCCAAAACATAACACTCCCTCCTGCATGCAAGCTCTCTCTTTAATGGCAAACAATTAGCCTAGGGTAAGATACTGTCTAAATGCTCAAGTTTACTTTCTTCCTCCAACGTCCAAGCATTGATACAGAACATTTGAATTTAATGCCTTTTTTTACCTTTTTTTTTCCCTGCTCTTCCATAAATACTGTTATTAAGAAATATCTGTATTTTATCTTCATTAACCCTTGGTTGTTTGTGGTTTAGGGTTTTTTTAAATAAACTAATGAATGTTAAAGGATTATTTTTTAAGCTCATGGATGCAAAAACAGTATACAAAAAAAGAAGAGGAAAAGAAAGAAGAGAATACTTTCTGAACGGGTAAGTTTATAGAACATATTTTCCATATATGCTTGAAGAACATCATAAACAAGGAAAGGGAGGTCTTTAGAGAGATATATATGAACTTATTAAAAAAATATATATAATCACATGCAAAAACTTTCTTCAAATCCCCCCAAATCCCAGTTTCTTCCTTGAGCTTACTTTACTGAATTCACAAATACTCTCGCACATTCAGTAACAAGGAATGTTAGATGTGAAGAGTAAGTTTTCAGCTTTTAACATTTTGACTATATTCCACTTCTGAAGAGAACTGACATCTTATTATGATGAGTGCTTACTATTTGAATATTAAACAAGACTGCTGACTCTTCCTTGGAAGTCCTCAGGCCTTAAACTAGAAATCAGAAGTCAGAATCAAGAAAAGTTTTGTTCTCTCTTGTTTATACTAAATTACAGAAGGCATTTTCTTGCCTCCAAATCTTGTTTCACTAACAAAGGAGTGCGGTTTGTTTCTCCCCCTGGTTTATATAACATGTAAATACATAAAAATGACCACAGAAATGGCAAGATCCCACAAAGCAGTAACATGGCTAATTACAAGAGTCTG